GACCAACACATTTTACAATTGCTTGCTGTTTGATTCTTTTTGTTAATTCCTTTGGTTTTTAGAAAGGATATGGCTCAATGGTGGCTTGTGATGATCCAATGTGTCGTTATGAGTGGTTTCATTATGGATGTGTTAATGTTATTGAAAAGCCTAAAGGAAAATGGTACTGTCCAGAATGTGCACCAAAACATTCAGGGTCTGAAATGACCGGCATAAACAAGGTGTAAACTGCAGTGTTTTTTGGATAACCAACCCGTTTCTTCATGTCAGATTTAGGTTCTACTGCTGTGAACTATGATCATTTATGGGTTTGAGACGAAAAACTTTAAATGGAGTTCACAAATATTTGTTGTCGGATCTGAGCGACTCACGACTTAAATGAATTATTGGCTTTGTGTGCTATTATTCGGTTATAAAATTATTTAATAACTCTAGTACCTCTTCTTATTGATATTTTATCACATGCTTTTTATATTGGTGCTTCATCTTATGCTCTTTTTGTTGATCTTCATGATATACCATGTAGCTGTTATCTCCAACTATCTCATATTTCTGTTTGACGCAAAGATTTTGTTACTTCCGTTTAACTTTTTTTTAGCTTAATGTAGCACATAATTCTAACGCCAAAGCCTGGACAGTTTCGTGTGTTACTTCTTTTATAATCTATCGCACATACTCTTATCAGTGTTTATCTTCAGTCCACTGTCCTCTGAAAATATTATGTCAGTAGGGTTTTGAGAGCAAGCGCTTAATCATTTATTTTAGTCCGCCTATACGAGAGAACATCGGTCAGTGCTTTTTTTTGTCCTACCGATCAATGCTTTTTAGTATCTTCTTTGCTTACTTGGAGTATGTCTTGCCTCGGTGTTCAGGTTCCTTTATTATCTCACCTTTAATTAAAATTAATATACGACTGTATATAGCTTCTCTAACCTTTTTTTCGTTAAATATTTTTTACTTAAGAAACCGTCAGTGTTCTTCTCTGCCTTCTTATTGTTAAACATGCCATCTCCCTAATATTGTTGTTGTTATTACAACTGTTATTGTCGCCATCATTATTACCATTATAATTGTTATTATCAGTACTACTTTTGTTATATTAATTTTCCCACATTTCCGATTTATGCTTTGTGTTTAAAAATGCGATAAATTTTCAAGCGTCTTGCCATGTTTTCTTTTTTAATTTGAAAAATATACAGATCATAATCAGTAATTAATCAGCTTGCAGGAAGTAAAAAAAGAAAACCTGGAATCCACTAAAAAATCCCAGGTTTTTTTTTCAAAAATAAAGTGTACGAAGGATATTAATACAGAGTAACGTACAATGAATGCGGAAAAAACCAACGTATTGTTGCTAAAACTACATCGAAATCGTCGATATGCTGGTTTATTCAGGCGGCCAATCATAATGGGCGGACATTATTGGTGCACAAATTTCATGAATATCTGTGACAAAAACACCAAGACTCGGGGATATTCCTGGTACATTTAACAATCCCCAACTCTTCTGTGCTAATATTCCTGCTTTCGTGGGTGGTGTCGCGAAAAGTCGG